AGACATCTTTATTCCCCATTTGTATTTACCACCTTCTGACAAAAGAGTCGAAGTGCTGGTGGTCAATCTGCTATAGCAGCAGCTTTAAGAGATTACTGATCAGTTCCTAATTTTTTGACTAATGGTGAACTATTTATTTTTAATGGATAAACTGCATTTGTAAATTGAAAACCATATGCAGTATGATTTCTTTGACTAAACAATATGGTCTGCAGACTGCTGATGGTTGACAGACTACCTTTTGGGCTATGTGTATAAACTGTGCAGACTACTGTGCAATGGTGTACTTAATTCCTAACACAGAAAAGGAAGAGGCATTGTAATGATCACTGACAGAAAAAGCACAGGAGCTACACAAGGCCCAACACTAACAAAACTTCCCTAAAAAAAGTACATCCGTTTTTATGCGGAAAATAAAAAAGAAAAAGCATAGTTCAGTTTTGGTAGAACTACAAAATAAGAAAGTAAGTCTTCAATTAGGAAAACACAGTATAATTTTAGCAAAGACATCCCATCTTACCTTTGAAATCAAAGTTGTAATGAATAAAATGAAGACTTGATAGTGTCTTGGTTTTTTTTTTAAACTAATAATGGGTAAACTGTTAAGATACTTGCTTGAACTCAAAACTGCATTTTCAACAAATAAAAAGATCCTTTGCTGGTAAACATAAATTAAGCCAAACAAATCAAACTCTTCTTGTGAGTATCACCAATAGCATAAGAATAATCAGAAGGTGCATGCTTGCTTCTTCCAACCTTCTCTATTACCATCAATACAGGACACTGTCAGACATGGAAAACCCAGTCCAGAATCACTGGCTTGTTCAAAGCAAGGATTTGATGTGGTTTCCTATCACTGGAAAGTTCCTATCATTTTAATTACAGAAAGAGGAGGGGAGAAAGAGCATGAAAGTGTTTGTCTAGAGTTTAGCAAGAGCCAGAGAGCTAGGACATCAATCAATCAATGTTCAGCAATGCACATTATTTTACACCAAATGAAGTATCTTTTACCAAAAGATAATTCCCTACGGAACACCGAGGAATATGCTATGAATCTATATAGACCAAAAAGGTTGTTTCAAGAAAACAAGATTGAAGAGAAAGAACATAAAGCTAAAGAAAGTACTCTTGGCTCAGAAATTCTACCCATAGAATGAGTTTCCAGAGATATGTCACCCCCCCTTACAAAAAAAACCCAACAACAACAACAACAACAACAANCAAAAAACACACAATAAAAATCAAACCAAGCACAAAGGAAAAAAACAGAAACAAACAAACCACACTGATTTCCCACACCAGGAGCCACTGTGTTTTGCAGTGTATCCATGCAGAAACACTGTATCTGCCTAACACCCAAAAATACACAAACACAAGGGAAAACAAGATGGTGGTTAAACACAAGCCAGATCTTTTAAACACCAAGGAAAAGCAATACTCCTGAGAATAGTAAAAACATAAGTATCTATGATCTTGAAATTTTAAGGTGGTAGGCAGCAGCATTAAACCCTGAAACAGAATGCAGCAGTTAACACAARTAATAGAGACAAGATGTGACATAATTCCATCACACAAATGTTAAAAGGTGCCAAAGCAGAAATTTAAAAACAGACAATTTCATGTTTTCTCTTCAGTTGTTTTCAGGAACCATTACTTGATTTTTTAATTAATTCTCAAATAAATYAAGAAGAAAGCACTGAAATGAAAAATAATTACACATTTTATTGCAGATACAACCATAATTTCCCCAAAACAGTATACTGTAGAGGTACACCTCCTTCGCTTTACACATGGCTTCTCAGTCTGGGAGCTTTAGACTATTTTGGCTCTCCCTTCTGCAAATTCCACCACAGAATTATACATCAACATCAGTTTTCAGAGTGACTGCAACAAAATTGTGCTTTTAACAGGCCCTGCTCTATGATCTTGCTTATTACAGTTGACGGTGTCACAGTGTTTTAAGTAGAATTAARGGAAATACCAAACATTACCAACCTAAGCTGGAGAAGATTTACTAGTTGAATTTCAGCTTTAGAAAAGAACAAGAAAAACAAACAGGACAAAAAAAMCCCAAGTATTAAAGAGTCATATATTGCCTCTGTAGGCACCTTTGGTGGGAACTGTTACCTTGAAAGAACAGAATAAATGTGGGTAAGAACCTAGCTTTTAATACAAGGGCCACCATCCTGGATGACCAATAGCATCAGGTTCTCCAGAATTCTGTCACAAAGAAACAACATCCAGAAGTAGATGCCTGGAATACGTGTGCTAGAGCAAAGCTAGCACGCACAATACTTCCACTAAGACTCAGGAGTTTCATTAGCCAGAGAAGGCTCTCATGTATTTAGCTGACAGACCTCGTATCATCAATGAGCTTTGAGTTCCCACAAAAGATTTCATTTCAGAAGTCCAATTTCTATGACAGTGAMTATATTAGTCCAAGAAGGCATTTAGAAGAAAAATTTGGCATAATTTATTCAGATTCTAAATAATTTTTGGATACATACGTGTTTGCTAAAACTGTTCAGTTTGGAACCAATTAAAACTTTAGCCTCAACCAACTGATGTCTTTTTTTTTCTTTGGGAAAAAAATATCCAAAAGGCCAATACTTTAACAGATAGCTAAGACTAATCTTCTAGTTCTGATAGATCCGCGAGCTACTAAACTAGATTTCAGCTGGGAAGCTCTTTTTGGAAATGCTGTTTATGAGCCGGAAAAGGAGAAGAACTTGGACAATTTTGTCSAGTTGCTGGATGAAAAGTTACCACCCTCTCACATATTTTACAAAGAMTTTTACACAACACTTCTATACAAGATAACACTTGTGTTCATTCCTATTCCAGTCTATAAAAGAGAAAACCCTACCCAAAATCATGGAAGAGAGGACAAGGAAAACCTTAACAGAAACCGAGACACTTTTACAACACCTCCACAGGTTGTCCTAAGGGGTTGAAGTCTTCAGGAGTGGAAACACTCAATACTTMACTAGACACTGTCCTGAAAAATCTGTTCCAAGGTGGGGTGCAATAGATGCTCTCAAGAATCCCCTTTCAACATAAATGGTTTCACRACTCTAATTAACAAAATCTACAAATATTAGGAGACAGCACAGGAACAAAAGAAGTTCTTAGATCCAAAAGAAATTAAGTAAACCACAGCAGATTAAAAAAAATTATGCTAAAGAAATCAGTCAAAACATCTTCACAAAACTTTCTTTACAAAGTTAATCGCTTTAGATAAATGCTATATTGAAAAAGTTGCCTAACTTACTAGGTTTCCACCTTTTTTACTCGTTAAAATCTAGCTTCCCCCTTTTTTATGTAACRTATGTATGCTTAAACCTATCAAATGTATTGATGGATTGGCAAAATGATGCCTACACTGCAGTACTTTCAGAGAATCTCTGCTTACAGATTGCTGCCTCACTTTCTTTTAATTTTAAATAATCTGAAATAAATCCTGAAGCCATGGATCTCCTGCCATTAGAARGATGGTATGTATTGGATTCTACCAAGTCCTGGAGAGGTTACTGCAGAACACTGACTGGGCTCTGTTTTCAAGAGCAGTAATTATCTCCCTGTTATTATTTCCCTGCTTTCCTCCCAGAAACATATCTGATCTGATAAAAGACAAAGATACAGGAATGGCAAGATAGTATGCAAGAACCTTACACACATTTCAAAATATTTTGTTTGTTGACTTCAACATGTATGGAATGTGTTCATCAAGGAACAAATAGAAATGTACATGTAATTGAAATTAATCTARAGGAGGAATCAGATGCTTAACTACAATTTGTGTACATGGAGTTACAACATCAAAGGAATTAGTAATTCAGATTTGTACTGTTTACTTCAAAATTTCTGTAATGTATAATGGAATTCAAAAATATTATGTTCTGCTAGGTTTTAGTAATACATAAGTTCTCTTCAACTAGCAAATGACCAGAGCACAGGGCTTCCTTCTGCCTCCACCAAATTTTGTTTGATAGTGCACATCTGCATACCAGGAATAGTAAACTGGATCTTTATAAAAAGTTTCCTGAATTTCTTCCACAAGACTTGGAAGATCTTTTCAAACCATTTAGCATTGTTCAACATTTCCAAACAGGACTTCCACTGACAGCCCCCTCTCCCCACAGATCTCCTATACAATGCATTTTCTCAAGAAGTCTTGATTCTACCCATGGCAGGAATCCAATGCCAATTATCATGAGTACCAACACTGCTTGGAGAAGGCAACCTCTACTAACTTCTACATCAATGCTTTCTTCTGATGGGTTCATCAGCCCAGGTCTTCTGGCTTTAACCAGACCACATCCCATGTGAAAATAATGCTTTGGTTACACATTAAGGTAAGTGAGAAAGCACCGCAGCATTAGGTGTCACCTTCCTCTCTGTCATGTACTTTTGATGTAATCTATGTGATTGGCAGAGTTYTCACTGATTTCTACAACAAGCCCTCACATTACCAACATTGTTGTATTTTCAAAGTATGCACCTAATTATCAGAGATGAACGAACAACTGGAAAAATGAGGGAAGTGTACGTATGAAGGGAGACCACAGGGAAAGACACTTCGAAAGAGGGGGAAGCTTTCAAAGTACAGCCATAATTATTCATTAACACCTCCCTTCCCATAAAAATCTTGCCTATATTTAATCCTGCTGCAAGGTTGGGGAAATGATTAAATGACCTCCAAAGGCTCCTTCAAAACTTACAATTCTCTAAAACTCCTCTGTCTATTCGTTTTTGCCCGGTAATGCACAAGGCAGCACTCCGATACTCTTGCCATTTCAATGCAAGTGAACCGTGGCTTCTGGGAGGGTGAAAGAAAAATCATCAACCTCAGGATAGGTGGTTCCAAGCCAGGGCAAGACCCCGGGCGCCCGCGGCCCTKCTCCTCCTCTTTGCCCACCAGGAGCGGGACACGAACCGGCGGTTCCAAGCAGGACACGGCCGCYCGGTGCCGAGCCGCCCCCCGTCCCACACTCAGGTACCTGGCAGCGCCTCAGCTCCTCCGCCAGAGCCCGCAGCTCTTCCTCCAGCTCTGTCACCCGCAGCGTCGCCGCCTCCGCGCTCCCCGAAGCCATCACCGAGAGCCKCTCGCCGCTCGTCCCGCAGGGAGAGGAGGGTCCGCGCCTGGCAGAGCGGGCTCAGGCGGCCCCCGCCCGCCCGCGCCGGGGGCAAAGGGGACAGAGAGGACGCCGTGGACACCACAAACAAAAACTTTCCGCCGCACTCACCGGGCGGAAAGCGCCGGAAACCGCAGGGCAGACAGAGGACGCGGTGCAATGACGTCACAGCGCAACCGCTGCCCCGGCGAGGAGAAGGGGCGAGGGGCACATTTGAATTCGCCCGCCCGAGCCGCGGGCCGCGCATGCGCCGTGCGGGGCGGTCGGGGCTGTGCTGCGCTGTGAGGGAATGGCGAGCGCCGGCCCCCGGACTGTGGCACCTTCATCTGCCAGCTCCAGGAGCACCCGCTGCCCAGCCAAGGTGCTGAGTCGGCAGTGCCTGGGAATCCAGCGGATCCCTGCCCGTCCTGAGGCGTAGGAGCACTTGTATCGCGCCGGTGTTTAGATCCTACGTGTTAACATACGAACCGCGCAGATCAAACTCATASAATGGGTCCTCTTGGCCCARCGTCCTTGATCAAGCAGGGTCATCTCAGAGCAYATRGCACTGGATKRTTCTCTAATATCCCYAGTGARGAAGRCTCCACAACCTCTCTGGGCAACCTTGAGYTGAATGCTTGGTCACCTCCACAGWACAGAATTTTCATGTTCAGGTGGAACTTCCTGTGTATCTTTGTGCCCCTTGTCCTGTTCGGCATCGCCGAGCAGAGCCTGGATCCATGCACTGACACCCTCCCTTCACACCCTTCTGTGCTTTGATGAGGTAACGAGATGTTCCTGGGTGTTCTGCGAGGTGCTGAGGCTCCAATATACTTSAGTGAGATGCATCATATGTTTTCCTCTTTTTGTGTTTCTTTTTTCTCTGAATTAAGTAATAACAATTGCAAGAGAAGAGTCAGAAACCTGGGTTCAGAGTAGGTCTAAATAGCATTTTAGGATGCATGAGCACAGTTGTTTCTCACATTTTTCAGCTTTGTCATTTCCTGAGCTGGATTTCAGASCCTACAACTAAAAGCAAAGGAAGGCTTCAAAGATCTAATTGTTACAAACATGCGAAATATTTGTTGCCACTATGTCAGTGTATTGGGTTTGACATCCAGATATGCTGAGTACTTGGTTTTGCAGTAACAAGTTAAACGGTATTGCAAAACAAATCCTTGCGTGTTTCCTGTAGCTTACACGGGACGCAAAATACGTTTTAAAAGCATAGACTTTACTGCAAAGGAATGGAGAAAGGAGTTGAAACAGGCTTTTGGAATGTGTTTTAGCCTGGAAATTGCATTTCACCAATGTCAGTATCTTACTACAGAAATACACTAGTCTTTATACATAAGTTTGTTTTCCTCTCCATTGTAACTTATATACAGTTTTTGAAAAAGTTGCCCTGAGTGTACCACTGCGACAAGAAATAAAACTTATAGTGTGTATGAGTGCATGCAGAGAAGCAAGAAGGTTTCACACTATGTAAATTAGGGCACGCATTAAAATGTCCAATCCTTCCACCTGTGGCCCTAGCAGAAAGATTCCTGCATCCTTGGTRATAACTGTGCCTGTCAAAGTTGATTTTTGTATCACATTGATATTCAGAGGCCCTTCTCAGGAGAAGAGTGGCTACAATACTCAATGCCAAAATTTTTACAAAATGTTTTAACCAAGGTTTTTACTATTACTGCAAGTCTTATCTTCATAATTATGAATGTAAATGTAAAGATGGGAGACTGCATTTGAGTCTTTTCTGTTCAGTTGTATGGAGATTTAAGGAGATTCAACAATTTCTTGATCAATACCATGTCTCTCCTTAGAATATCCTTTTTAATTTTTATTGTTCATCAYTCATTGTATATTGCGTCATCACATTTTTGTGATCTTACACTATCCATCATTTATCTTTGTGTGCTATTACATGTCCATTTGACAATAATGACTATAATGACTATCRTGTCAATTCTAATATGTTAACATTTTAAACTTTTTCTTTGCTTTTAGGATCTGCTAATTCTCTTGTACCTTAAATTATCCAGTCACTATGATTCTATGTAGCCTTCACTTTTTCCACATCTCTGCCTTTTAATAACCATCTTTTTTTGCTTTTCATCTGGTTCCTAATATTTTTATGATTGTCCCCTTGACCATTTGTTCCCTATTACACTTGGGCAACAAGAAGGTAACCTTACTTAAAAAACAATGTGCTTAGATTAACTGCTGAACAACTGCAATGACTAAACAGGATTTAAAAACATTTTCCAAGTACAAGGTCATTCAAAGTTTAGCTGAAAAGATTCAGTTATTACAGGGTCTAGGTTCACAGCTTGACACAACACAAAACAAAAGATGGCAATTCCTTACAGCTTTAGAACCTTAAAAGAGAAATTTATGTATTTGCTATTTCTGTAGACACGTTTCCACARYAATCACAAGTAATAGTCTTCCATAGCAAGATACTTATTTTAAAGATCATATTTTTGTATATGGTTTAATCATCATCACATTTGTTTTCCTGCTTCTCTGTAATAAAGTTTCTAGTTCTTAAATCAAACAGTATTAATGATAATTCTGAGACTATTTCAGAAAATTTAAAATGTGCAGTTGGCAAGTTTAGGTGAATTGGGAGACATTGACTTCTATGGAAGTATTTAGTATTTTATATTTCTCCCAAATCTTCATATTTTGGAACACCTGTTTTTAGAGTTATCARATCCATGAGACTGTTAGGCTAAATTCTTCCAAACTTGTTTTGCCTTTGGTTTTCCCTTTTTTCAAATTAAATAATATTCAGTTTGGGTTGAGTCACTACAAGAATTTTCCCTCATATATAACTGTTGTGTAAGCATGCAATTTCTTGTTCCTTTTCTACTTGTAAGAGATGTATTAGAAATACATTGCGCAATTGAAACCTAGTTGCTATGGTTTTTGTCACTTACAGCTCCTGTGAAAGTTGCACAAATGGAAGTATTCCCCAAGTTGGTGTGGTGGCAGAAGGAAAAATATTTTTTGCTAGGATTTTTTTTTTTTTTGTGCTTGGGAAATTCCGCATCTTCCGTTGAAACRTGTTCATGTTACAAACATGTTGCAATTACTCCTGATCACATAATTTCTTTTTTTCTGTTTGTGTATTTCTTTTTCTTATCTAAATGTGAAATTAAAATTACACCATTCATTGTGGCAATCCCCAATACTTCATTATTAGAAATAAAGAAATGTAAGTACATAATAGAGCATTTTATTTTTCTTTAAGCAAAAGATGTCTTTACTAGTCTGATTTTTAAAAGTTTTAGAATGTTATACCAATGAATTTGCATTTTTCCTTGGATTTTTTATGTTGACTGTTCATGTTTATCACCAGTAGTTTGCTATGAAACAGCATCATCAAACTGGTACTTTCTGAAACATGCTTGTCAGCTACAGTGAACAAAAGAAGTCAAAACTGCTGAAATTATTTCTGGCAGGTTTTGGCAATGTCCTCAATATTTTAGTAATTTGTATGTTTCTCAAGGACATATTCTAACTCTAGAAATATGTTAGGTCTTGTTTAGACAATGAATTCAAAACATACTTGCTTCCAKTCAAAGTTTCTGGAGGTTTTGTGATGTAGATTTGGGTTTGGGTTAGTTTTGTGGTTTTTGCTTGTGTATGCATTCAGGACTGCAGGGGACATTCTTTCCATTTCTGTGACAGCTGTATATAATAACATGATTATAGTCATAGGAAGAATGGGGATATAAAAGTGGAAAGGTCTATAAGGAGTAGTGTCTGATATTAGATCACCTGTCATAAGCAAGAGAACAGGCAGACCATTTAGATGTAAAAAAATGGTGAAAAAAGTATGTGACCAAAATTATAGTTTTTGTTTCCAACAGCTTGTAAGAAAAAGATACTACTTCAAACCTCATACCTACCATTATAACATATTCATATTGAATTAGCAAATTTTGAAAAAGCAGAGCTGGAAAAGGTCAGCATGTAAGCCTGGATTCACTGATGCTGACACCTGGAGTTCCACAACTAGCACAATTCACTTTTCACTCAGTGAAAAGAAAGTGCCATTTTATTCTTGTAAGCAGAGAGTAAGAGAGCAGAGGTCTGCCTTTTTCCTGAAAAGAGGTAGAACCAAGTAGCCTCTAAAATTTATTGATTTTATCRTGTTGGTTTACTGCATACTTTTTTACTGCACACTATGCCATGCTTATATAGGTTGGGTAAACGCTGATCAACAGGTTACATTCCCAGAACAGCTACATTGTGGTGCTGGAGGAGTCTGTAACATGGCACTGGAACTTTCGCTTACATTTGTCATCAAGGCTTCAGTTTTTCATTGTCTTTTAAATGAGGTCATAGATCTTGGCACTATACCCTTCAAGGCAATGAAAAATGCAAACCACTAATATAAAGTAGGGTATGTCAGCCGAGCAAAGCACAGAGGAATGAGGTGATTAACAGTGTCCTGGACGTGGGGATGAAATCTTCCCCACCCTATAGCACCTGCCAGAAACTGGCGGCCTAGAGGGAGGGGCAGACAGCTGAAGGTCATTAAGAGGCGGAAGTAAATTCCAGTTTGGCTGAACTGGTAGAGGCAGTTAGGGTTTGTGTTGTAGTGAACTGATGAGATGGGTTTAGCTGAGTACTGGGAATTGATTGTTTYATTGTTAATTTGTTTCTTTGTGAAATTCAATCCCAAGAAGGAGTTGAGCTTTGACCTTGCATTTGGTGTGTAGCTGGGAGAGTCACCTGGTTATGGAAGGGTTGCATGGAAAATGAAGACTTGCTTTCCATCACCCTGAAAAAGGGTGTGAAGAGTATGTGACCACCCAGGCTCAGTAAGTAGCCACAATGCCCTTGTTAACCCAAGGAGTGGTTGCTGAAAGGGGCAGCACTGTCCGTGGCCACCCAAACTTCTTAGAGTATGCAGAGGACACAGATGAGACACTCCCTAACCCTAGGGATCACAGCTGAGAACATACACCTACACATCCTCTCACTGCATTCACGCACATGCATACAATGCAAGAGTCATGAACATTTGCAAGTGTCTCACAATTACCCATTTTTAATATTAGAAATCAGGTTTGCAACAGTTTGCACATTTTAGTATTGCACATAGCTGCACAATGCACCAAAATAAACTGATT